TCAGTGTTGGAGAAGAAGGCATATAACACAATTCTACACGTTTTTCTCTTCCTAGAAAATAGAACCTTCATTTATATTCTTCCAACTTCGCCCTAGTCATCATTATTTTATTATTATTATTATTATTATTATTATTATAATAAATATTTGCATAAATATCTGTAACTACGGCACGTACTACTAAGGTTACCCACATATATTTGGTAAGTAAAGAAAGGATGAATTCATTTGAACAGAAATCATAGAATATTCAAAATTATTGAACAGAAATATCATCGAACAATAAAAGAGAATTTTCAAATCACAGGAGAATATTTTCTTTTTTTTAGATGGCACGTATTTGCTTCTGGCAGTAATGGTCGGTGTACGATCCCAGGTAAAAGTATTTTATCATGCTAACCTAAACTTTCTTACGCGCGCACACGCACACACACACACACACACACACACACACACACATACATATATATATATATATATATATATATATATATATATATATATATCAACCGCGTTCTAAAGCCATTTTATACGCAACTGACTGCTCTGTTTCTTTATTCGAAATTATTTTTTCAGATTTTAACTTTCATCTCATGTTTCCCAGAATTCCATTTACTCAAAACTTTTTTTATTCAAATTTTCCCTTTCCAGTTGCACAAAGATTAAGGATTCTCTCTTTACCTTATGAAGTTCTGAGGAAAAAAATGACATCTCTTGAGATGTTATTATGGACTCACCCAATGCTTTCTGAAAAAAAGTGTTTTGTTTTTTTTAGCCTTTTATGTTATTCTCACCAGTGCATTTTTTTTTATCGTAAATAGTACTGCTTGATAATCCAGGATTGTAATCAAAGGAAATCAAGACTTAAACTGAACAAAATGACCAATCGATATTCAGTCACTAAAGTTGACTTCCAAAAACTGGAAAAAAAAAGAAAAAAAAATGTTTTTCTTTTCAATAACTTTGTGCGTCTTTTCATTTTTCTTTAGCAAGAACATTTAATGCCACAAAAAATAATCAGTGAGTTTTCAGCAAGCACTGGTGCTAAACATTTAGGTTTATTTCGATTTTTTCGATTTTTACTTTTTTCAATGATCAAGTTATAAAATCCCGTTTTTATGATGCAATTTGTCAGAGAATTCAAGACTTCAGAAAACACCAAAATAAATTTGCTAAGGAAAAGACCATTATTTTCCAAATTAAATTTCTTTTCAAAATGAAATGTATTATTTATGATACTTTTTTGATGAGCTTAATTCAAATATGACAATTAAAATTGCTGATTTATTGTTTCCAATATATATACATTTTCACATTTTACATACTATTCGTACAGTCTGCATAGATCGTTTTCAATCATGAATTGTAAAACTATGTTTTTGCTTGATGAAATACTTGTTTAATATCTTAAAAGAAGATTATTAACTTCCAAATTATCATTCTATTTATTCATATTTTTTGACATTTTGCATCAAGTGGCTTTGTGTCAAAATTTTACACCTGCATCAACTCGATGTTAAAACGATCGATAGTAAACCATGAATTAAATCGAGTTAGGTTTTGAATTGGAAAAGTTGTATGTATAAAATCTTTCAATCGCTATATCTATCTATGTGCCGTGTCCCTTCAGGGCGTTGGTGATTATGGCTCTCCACAATTTCCTGTCCTTTGTATTTCTTAATAACTTTTGTCTTCCCGTTATTCTTTCCTATATCCCCTGCTCGCCAAGTAGGTTGTGCTTTTCTTTCCTTCGTCTCTTTTATCTTCAATCTCCCCAGTGTGTATCAAATTTTCCAAGCCTTCATTCCTCATTATGTGTCCCAAAAACATAAACTGTCTCATCCTGATGTTTGTTGTTATTTTCTCTAGAATTTATCGTTGCTTACATCTTCGTTCCTTGGTACTCTCAGCATCCTTCTGAAGAACCAAATTTCTGCTGACTCAAGTCGCTTCTTCATCTTTAAAAAAATTGTCCAACATTGACTGCTATATTGACTGATACTAAATAGCAGTTTAGTACTCTTTTCTTTGTTTCATGCAGGACGTTATCAAGTCAAATTGAAGTCCATTAATGCTTTCAGACTATTGTTAGACTCTAATACTTAATGCCTATATGCAGCAAACCAAAATGCGTAAACACTGATTAAGCCCAATGGCGGTAATTTATTTTATTTCCTGTTCTTTCAATAAAAAACAAAACCTGATCGTTTTGTTTTCCAACTAGTTATATACATAAGTTATAAGACAATGGTCGATTAAGTTATTTCTATTGAAAAATATATTATCGCCATTGACCTTAATCAGTGTCGACACATTTTGATTTGCTGCTTATAGGCATTGTGTCACATATCTTATTAGTATCTAACAATAGTCTGTAAACATTAATGGACTTCATTTGACTTGATAACGTTTCCGCTTGGAAGCAATAATATCTCAATTAAGATATATACTACTCTGCAATTCAATGGAAAACATGCAGATTCCAAAAAATGAATTTTGAGTAACAATGTTTTCAACAACTGTCTATTAAAGGGTATTAACTAACATTAAAATATTCAGAGGCATGGCACGTGGAATTAGAACAATTCCCCTCCACCCCGTGGACTAAATAAAGGGTTCGAGTCGAAATACCAAATAATATTACGGGAAGAGACTCTGAGCGTGCAACGACCGAAACGTCGTGAATGTGGTGATTTTCTAAGCGTAACTTAAACGTGGCTTGAGACCGAAAGTAGGGGGCAACCAGTGACGATCGAACTCACTACTTAATCGTAATTGTTATAGCGAGAAAAGCTTGCTAACCATTAGACCACATCGAGGTACCCCTAAACGTCGTGAATATGACAATAAAGATGAGGACAACAATCCGAACACTGTAAATAACGTAAATGTTACATTTCATGCCTTGATTACGCTTTCAATCAATTCTTTGTCATTGTCTTCCAAGATAATTTCTTATCATTAATTTAAAGGCTTTCCATGCTCCCTTAATTTAGGAAATTTTCTAGTGAGGTACTTGAATGCTGGTTCATGGCTTCATCATCAGGTCCAGTTTTATATGTAAGGCTGGCAACAATTTTTTTTAATCAATTCATTTCATCCCAAAAAAGGCGATAATGCCACTAAGATGCAAGGATCTACTAAGCGTGAAAGAGAATGAAAAGGACTTTAGAAAGAACCGGAAACCCAATCCTAAACAGAAAACAAAGGATAAACCTCTACTCTTATTTAAAAAAAAAAAAAAAAAAAAAAAAAAATCGGAGAAGAATGTGAACCAAGCTCCATTGCTGGTCAGTGGCCAGTCTCTTGACGTAGTTTAAAAATCTCGTACGCCGATCCGATTCACAAAGAAAACAGAAGTATTTTGTGTATTCAAGCTGCAGATCAACCAATAGAGAAAGAACCTTTAAGTTACCACATAACTGTCACAGCATCATTTATACGCCTTAAAGTCTATGTTTTCTTCATATGAACTGCATAACCTAATAAAATGTCATAAGATCAAATCTGGTGTGGAAGAATATCTTTTAACGTTTACGGAAAGTGGAAACCCTAATATCAGCTGGTCAGGTAATGCCGCCTTTGTGGTCTACAGCCTAATAGTTCTACCTTATTATTAAATAACTCCAAATCTCTAAGGTCGTGTAGTTCACTTTAGGGTGTTGTTCAGGGTAGGGAAATGTGTGAAAAGGGTCAGACGACAGGGCAATTTAAATTTTAGGGTTGCATTGTCTTCTAATTATTTTGTAAACTCGTGTAATTTGAAATTATGCAGTAGCCACAGATATATAGATCTTTTCTTTGGGCTTTTCTTTCTAGTTAACATAATTTTAATAATGATCATTCGATGTTTATTTTTATTTTTTTATTTTTATTTATTTATTTTTTTTTTTGTAATGTGAATGGCCGAAAGAATAAATTTAGTCTGGAGTTTAGACATGGTGTTTTTAGGGATGTGAAATTCGATTGTGAGTCGTAAATAATTTGCAATATTTATTTCAGGTAAGGAGACGCATACTTTTGTCATAATTTTTCTCTCTTTCTTCTCTCCAAATGTCCCCATTTCTCTTGCACTCAATAAATTTTTAGGAATTTTAAATCAATCTCTTTCTTCCGTTCAGTTATTGGGGTGTAAAGTAAAAGACTGATCTTCATTTTTTATTCTATGGAAATAGAAACACTGGTCAGTGAGTTCTATTCCGAAGATACATCACTGGATCAGCGGCAAGAGAAAAAAATGGTTCTGTCGTTCCTGGCGACTGCTGGAACTTAATCAAAATGGTCCAGAATTTTTCCTGCGAAATCGAAGTGTTGTGTTGACATGAAAGTAAAATGTCGGTTAGGCGCAGACCCATCGGTTTTGCTTGCCTGATCGATTGGCATGCGTTATACAGTATAATTTGTCCGACCGTCTGCGATGCGGGAATTTGCAGGCTCATTCTAAAAAGGACAGGTGGATGCAACAGGACGAAAAGATTCAAACGAAATTCATCATGATTAATTAAGTTATTCGAAATAAATTATTTCCCTTGTTCACTTGATATATTTTCACGCACATCTATGTGCATGTATGTGTGTGCGTGTGTGCGTACTTTTGTAGAGATATAAGTATAGGTACCGTAAGGATATATCTATCTCGTTGTATATGTAGACAAATGCACACGGATATATCTAGGTATTCACATATCTTATATCGATATGAACACATGTAAAAATGTATACGTAGAAGACCAGATACACAAGTATATTTTTATACAGCATATATGCGGTGGAGTCTCTCTTTGTTACGCTTACATACAGAGACACACATATACGTATATATAGCAAGGTTCGTATTTCTAAAAAGGAAGCTAATTCTGAAAGATAACATTTTAAAGCCAGCAGTAATTTTAGTGCATGATATCAAGACACAAGTCATTAATAAGAAATAAAATAAAGAGACAAGTGAATTTAATTTTATGATAAATAGCAGAATTCTAATACATTATTAGGACATCATGTTGAAACACCTGTTCTCGTATGATCACCGAAGTTAAGCAACATCGAGCCTGGTCAGTACCTAGACGGGTGACCGCGTGCGAATACCAGATGATGTAAGTTTGGATGTATGGGTGGTATAATGGATAATAACTTTGAATTGTTAATCGGAGAGCCGATTTCCTATTGGAGTTTTGTTCTTTATATTCACTGACGTGCAAAGGTATGAATCCACCTCGGATATCGGTTAATTACTAAGACTTGCATTACTACATCGCTAAAACATTATTATCCCCCCCCACCAAATTCTTACAGTCTAAAAGTATTTTCTGGCTTTAAATAACCCGCAAAAGGCTGATAAGCCGAATGAATCAATAAAAGGAATACGTTATTACATGTAGGTGTCGCATAGTTTACTGCGTTCAGCTGCATTCGTTTTATTTTAAAATAAAAGAACGATACTTTCAAAAAAATGATGATATAACCTACTGTTATATATTATATAAGTGTCGCTGACAATACTTGAGTTTGAATATAGATCGCCAGTTAGCAAACACAGACGATCTCATTATTGGATTAAATAAACTACGTGACCATAGAGGAAACGTATATATGTAGAAAGTAGCTGACGACTAACGATCGGTTTTTCTAGTCTATCCTCTATACTATACGGATCGCTATTTCTACTCTATCCTCTATTACTATACGGACCACTATTCTTTACTCTATTCACTATACTATTTCTCTATTCGGATCACTATACGGATTAATATTCGGATCACTATTCGGTGGTTACTATTCGAACAAGTACTATCGAGCAAGTACTATCAGTGCGAGTGTTATTCGAAGGCGTCTGGCACTAGTATTGTTCAACGGCGTTATTATAGTTGTATCTGCGATTACAAAGTCTCTACTACAACGAGCATTACGTACATGACAACGAGTATTCGTTGACATCACAAAAGTGGCAACCAGTATTCGTTGACATCACAAAACCTACTTTTAAATTGCTTAATTTTCTTTCCTTTTATCATCCTACCCTGATGATGACTTGTCAAATGGACTGAACATCATGAATTTTTATCAATTTATGCACACACAACAACCACATTACCACATTTGTGAAACGATTTTCGCATATTCTAAATATATATATATAAACATTTAACATAATAGAAACAAAAATTCTTTTATTTTTAACAATGTATATTTAAAAACACACGCACACACACACTCTCTCTCACACACACACACACACATATATATATATTCAGCATATTTGGCAGCAAGATTATTGCAAATAGGTTTTATTTAAATTTTTTATAGGATGCGAGTAACATTTTGCAAATGAGGCTGTTGTTGAAGGGATAAAAGATCGGACAGGCAGAGATGAATCTGGAGAAAAATACTGAGAGTTTCCTCACCGCGGAGAACAGCTGCCCTTGCAGTACTTCCCTCGTTGCTTTAGAGTGGGGGGGACGGTAGTAATTTCGATGCCAGCGCCACCAACAGTTGCAGGATCTGGGCAATTTTGGACCCTGACTCGGGTGTATGCGCTCGGGTACACCACGTTAAACCCAACACATCACGGCATCGTAGGGAGACGAGTAAATACTTCCATGAGGCGTGTAAGAAAAGAGAAGGAAAAAAAATGGAGCGTATTTTAAACAGCGCATTATTTTAAAGTGCTCATATTTTTTTGAAAGTTTTGTTGGAACTTTGTCCAAAGGTTGAACAAAATACCAATTTGGGCTACATTATAATCAGCAATATTCACATTTGCGAAATGAAATTACCATCCTAGTTGAAACGTCTCTCTCTCTCCTCTCTCTCTCTCTATATATATATATATATATATATATATATATATATATATATATATATATATATATATATATATATATATATATATATATATATATATATATATATATAAAATAAAATAAAGAAAAAAAGATCTATTTCGGTTATAATTTATAAAATATTTTTATATTATCTCTTCAGTTCTTAAAAAATGAAAACAAGAACTTTCGGTCTGAAGAAATCGATATAAAAATATTCACGAAATAAATTATAACCGAAATGGATCTTTATTTATTATTATAATGCTCTGTAATTTAAATTTACATTGAACTCTCTTTGGATTAATGTCCTCCTTGGAATTATCCCTACCAGTCACAAATTGGTATTATACATACACACACACACACACAGTGTGTGTGTGTGTGTGTGTGTGTGTGTGTGTTCAATCGTTTCACCCCAAGTAAGGCGATAATGCCACTAAAAGAAACGGAGTTACAGTGAGTGAAAGTGAATGAGAAGACTTTGATGAGAAGAAGCGAGGAAAGGACAATAAAAGAAAGTGGGGTCAGGAAGAAAGAAGATGGCGATTGACATTGCATTTAGAAGGTGAGAAGTGCGAGAAAATAACATGTTAGAATAGAAGTTTTGGTTGCAGTAAAACTGTGAGGCATAATTGCTAGTCATGCAGCATGCTTAAATTCATGTAGACAATGAACTAAA